CTCAAAAAACCCGATCATAACCGGTTTATTGATGTGCATGTGTACGCACTCATTGTTTTGTTTATTTGTTTAGAAAAAGCAGCGGCGTCTCCAACAACAAGCAGCATCGCTCCACGTAAAACCACAGGAAATCACCCCTGAACTTCCTCCAGCAAAGGTCAGAGATCTTTGTTTTTCTCTGTGTGTCTTGGTCTGTTTTGTGCTTTGTCGACTGTCAGATTTGATTTTCATGTATTATATTTTTATTCACTTCTTTCCCTCATTTGTGGCATGTTACACCAAGAGCAGCGAGACGAATCTCAGTGGAATAAAAAAACAACAAACTGGACTTTTCAGAACTTTTAATCGTGTTGTAGTTGTGTAGTTGTCTCTCCTCGTTTCCTCTGTCCTCGTTTCTTCTGTCCTCGTTTCCTCTCTTGGTCTTGAGGACTTAGGGACTCGGGGTTTATCAGATTTGTTTTCCGTCGGTTTAGGTCCCGCCCCCTGACGACGGCGCCGCTACAAAACCACAGAAGAAGAAGAAGACGAAGAAGGAAGGAGGAGACGAGGACAGAGGAGGCGAGGACGTAGGAAGCGAGGACAAGACGGTTAAAGCGAAGAAGAGGAGGAAGCTGAAGGACGGATCGGACGGGAAGGACGGAAAGGAGGGAAGAGTCGGAGCTGACGAGGACGCAGAGAAGGACAGAGGAGAGAAGGAGACGAGCAAAGGATCCTTCAGGACGTCGTCTCTGTTCAAGCACAACCCGGAGATCCCCGACATCAAGAGGTCAGACGCTCACAGAAGGAGAAGTTACACCCAAATAAACAAGTTTTCAGAAAATACTAAAATAAAATACACTTCGTCTCCTCTCTCCTCGTCTATTCTCTTCTTCTTCTCTTGCTTCCTCTCCTTGTCTCCTCCCTATCTCCTCTCTTTTGCTTTCTCCACCTGCATCTTCTCGTTCCTTGTCTCCTTGTCTTATCTGTCTTTGTCTCCTCCCTCCTTGTCTCCTTGCCTCTTCTCTCTCCTTGTCTCCTTGCCTCTTCTCTCTCCTTGTCTCCTCCCTCAATTGTCTCCTCTCCCCATGTCTCCTTGTCTCCTTGTCTTATCTGTCTTTGCCTCCTCTCTCCTTGTCTCCTTGCCTCTTCTCTCTCCTTTTCTCCTCTCTCCTTGTCTCCTCCCTCCTTGTCTCCTTGTCTTCTCTCTCCTTGTCTCCTCCCTCCTTGTCTTCTCTCTCCTTGTCTCCTTGCTCTCTCTCTCCTTGTCTCTCCTTGTCTCCTTGTCTTCTCTCTCCTTGTCTCCTTGCCTCTTCTCTCTCCTTGTTTTCTCTCTCCTTGTCTCCTTGCCTCTTCTCTCTCCTTGTCTCCTCTCTCCTTGTCTCCTCCTCCCTTGTCTCCTTGCCTCTTCTCTCTCCTTTCTTCTCCTCTCTCCTTGTCTCCTCCCTCCTTGTCTCCTTGTCTTTTCTCTCCTTTTCTCCTTGCCTCTTCTCTCTCCTTGTCTCCTTGTCTTCTCTTTCCTTGCCTCATCTCCTTGCCTTCTATCTCCTTGTCTCCTCTCTCCTTGTCTCCTCTCTCCTTGTCTCCTCTCTCCTTGCCTCCTCTCTTCTTGTCTCCTCTCTCCTTGTCTCCTTGTCTTATCTGTCCTTTCCTTCTCTGTCTCTACCTCCTCTGTCCTTGCCTTCTCTCTTTGTCTCCCCTCATCTTGTCTCCTCAATCCTTGTCTACTCTCTCCTTGTCTCCTTGTCTTGTCTGTCCCTGCCTCCTCTCTCCTTGTCTCCTCAATCCTTGCCTCCCCTCTCCTCTCCTTGTCTTCTCTCTCCTTGCCTTGTCTCTCCTTGTCTCCTTGTGTCCTCTCTCATTGTCTCCTCCCTATCTCCTCTCTCCTTGTCTCCTCTCTCCTTCTCCCCTGTCTTGTTGCTTCCTCCGTCTTTCCCTCCTCCCTCCTTGCCTCCTCTCTTCTTGTCTCCTTGTCTTCTACCTCCTCTCTCCTCGTCTCCTGTCTCCTCTCTCCTCGTCTCCTCCCTCCTTGTCTCCTCTCTCCATGTCTCCTTGTCTCCTTGTCTCCTTGTCTTGTCTCTGTCTTCTCCTCCTCTCTCCTTGTCTCCTTGTCTTATCTGTCTTTGCCTCCTCTCTCCTTGTCTCCTTGCCTGTCTCCTTGCCTCTTCTCTCTCCTTTTCTCCTCTCTCCTTGTCTCCTCCCTCCTTGTCTCCTTGTCTTCTCTCTCCTTGTCTCCTTGTGTCCTCTCTCATTGTCTCCTCCCTATCTCCTCTCTCCTTGTCTCCTCTCTCCCTCTCCCCTGTCTTCTTGTTGCTTCCTCCATCTTTCCCTCCTTCCTCCTTGCCTCCTCTCTTCTTGTCTCCTTGTCTTCTACCTCCTCTCTCCTCATCTCCTGTCTCCTCGTCTCCTCTCTCCTTGTCTCCTTCTGTCCTCAGGTCCTCGGTGTCTCAGTTGAAGGAGGAGGTTTTCAGTAGTTCATCTTTTGAGGACCTGGACCTCCATCCCCACCTGGTAACACGCCTCTCCGCTCTGATTGGCTGATTCAAACTCTCTTTTTCTCCTCTGATTGGCTGATTTAAACAAACCCGTGCTGTGATTGGTTGTTTCAGGTGGCGACGCTGAATAAAGTCCTGAACGTGTCGACCATGACCAGGTCTGACCTCGATCTGTTGATCAGTAAATGTTTTTGTCCATTTCCTGTTCCCCTGTGACCTCACTTCCTGTCCCTTAGTGTGCAGCAGAGGACCGTCCCCGTGCTGCTGTCGGGACGAGACGCCGTGGTCCGGTCCCAAACCGGATCAGGTCAGTACCAGAACCGAACCAGGACTAAGATAAGAACTAAACCAGGACTAAGATTAGAACTAAACTAGAACTAAACCAGGACTAAGATAAGAACTAAACCAGAACTGAACCAGGACTAAGATAAGAACTGAACCAGGACTAAGATAAGAACTAAACCAGGACTAAGATAAGAACTAAACCAGGACTAAGATAAGAACTAAACCAGAACTGAACCAGGACTAAGATAAGAACTAAACCAAGACTAAGATAAGAACTAAACCAGGACTAAGATAAGAACTAAACCAGGACTAAGATAAGAACTAAACCAGGACTAAGATAAGAACTAAACCAGGGACTAAGATAAGACTAAACCAGGACTAAAGGTTCTTTCACACCGACTGCAGTTGTTGCACCAAATGTTCCGTTCGAACCAGAAGCTTTTAGTTCAGTTTGTTTTCATTGATGTGAAAGTTTCAGTCGCACTTGGATCTGCACTTACTCAAACGGACCAACACCTCAGAAAAGAGTTGGTCTCGGTCCACTTGACTCTGCACCAAACGCCAAACTCTGGTCGGTTCGTCTGGTGAGACGCCAACTCAGGTCCAAACCAGAGACAGTTGGTCCACACCAGCTGTTCCAAATGCATCATGGGAGGGAACACTCATTATTTCATTGCGTGCACCAGGTCGGGAGACGGGCCCTGCAGACCCCCGCGCCCCGGGTTAAGGGGGTGTGATGGGGGCCGGGGTTGGGTCTGGACACCTGTCCTGCGGCCGGTGGTTCGTAGGTTTGTGAGTTTGAGCTTCCCGGGACAGGGACGCTTTTAGGCGGGGTTTGTGAAAACGTCTCTGCCGGAGGCCGGTCGTGCTGTCTGTACTCCGCTGAGGGGTTCTGTGTGAAGACCACCGGGTGAGACGGTGTGTCTCAGTCTCGTTTCTGAGAAGTCTTAAGTGCAGGAGAGTCTCAGTGTCCCTGAGGAGCCTGCAGTCGAACTCTCTGTGTGCAGGAGCCTTGGATGTACGTCAGTCGGATCAGTTTTGGTTTGCAGGTGTGAAAGGAAAACACTGGAGTCTATGAAACAGAAAAACTATTTTATTGCCTATTGCAGACCAAATAATTGAACTAGTGTGTGAAAGTGCCCTAAGGTAAGAACTGAACAAGGAACTGAACCAGGGACTTGAACTTGGGACCAAACTAAAGTCTGCACCAGAGACTGAACCAGGACTACAGCTGAGTTTAGTTTAGTTCTCAGACAGTTGGTAAAATGAATCTTTGTGCCCTCTGTAGCTCTGGAAATGTAAATATGTGTGTGTGTGTGTGTGTTGTGTGCTTCCGTCCGTGTGTGTTTGTTTGTTGTGTGTGTTGTGTGCGTCCGTGTGTGTGTTGCAGGAAAGACTCTGTCCTACGCCGTCCCTCTGGTTCAGTCTCTTCAGGCTCGTCAGCCCAAAGTCCACAGGTCCCATGGTCCTTTGGCTCTAATCCTGGTCCCCACCAGAGAGGTAAATACTACAAATACAAAAACACCTCAGTAAATACGACCAATACCTCGGTAAATACTACAAATACAAAAACACCTCAGTAAATACGACCAATACCTCGGTAAATACTACAAATACAAAAACACCTCAGTAAATACGACCAATGCCTCGGTAAATACTACAAATACTCCCTCTGAACTACACAAACAGACAAACACTGACTGGACTTCATCAAACATGTCTAGAGATGGGTCCATGCTCCTGGATTAAAGGACACATTAAAAAACACATTGAAGTTTATTTTAAAGATGCATTATGTAACCTTTCTGATAAACGCCATGTTATTACTGTGCTCTGAATGTTCCACAGTACAGCTTTAAACTAATCTGTCTGCAGTTATTTCATTATAGTTGGCTTTTTTTGTTCAAAAATATGGTCTGCTTGTCCCCGTAGAGATACGTTTATAGCTCACAGTAATAACATCTCCATGGAGACGACGAGCATATAAATCGGATAAGTTACACAGTGCAGCTTTTAACCGTACATTTTCTGTTCAATGTTTTGCAGTTGGCTCTTCAGACCTTCCAGACTTTGCAGAAACTTCTAAAGGTGAGAGTGATTTTTTTTTTTCCCGCTTCAATACTGTTCCAATCACGACAAAATAAAAAACTGCGACAGAGTTTATAGTGTTTTCTGTCAGAATAAGCTCACGACTTTCCAGAGCTTGAGCGTCCAACGTTGGAGATGGAGGATCAAAATCTCTCAAGATTGTTTTTATTGTTTTTTAAATTTGTCCACATGATCTCGTCCCTACGGAAGCCGAGAGGGGTCACAACAAACGCAAACGCCACAACAAATACAAATGTGACAACACAACAAAAAGCCACAACAAACCAAAAAAAGCCACAACGGAAATGACCGCAGGACTCTATTTTAATGCAAATGCCGCAACAAATACAAACGCCACAACACATTAAAAAGCCACAACACATTAAAAAGCACAACACATTAAAAGCCACAACACATTAAAAGCACAACACATTAAAAGCACAACAATTAAAAAGCCACAACACATTAAAAAGCCAAACACATTAAGCCACAACACATTAAAAGCCACAACACATTAAAAAGCTACACAATTAAAAAGCCACACACATTAAAAGCCAACAACATTAAAAAGCCACAACACATTAAAAGCAGCACACACATTAAAAAGCCACAACACATTAAAAAGCCAAACACATTAAAAAGCCACAACACATTAAAGCTACAACGCCACAAGACCACCACATTAAAAAGCTTATTAAAAAGCCACAACCCGACAACGGAAGTGACCGCGGACTCTATTTTCCGACGGACCGATCAAGCGGCAAGTGAAGAAGAAGAAAAACAATGTGAAATGAATAATGATAAAACAATAAATTACTTTTACTTACGTTTCCAACTTCTCCGTTCCTTAACTTTTCACATTGTAGTTCTTCTTCACTTGCTGCTTGATCGGTCCGTCGGAAAATAGAGTCCCGCGGTCACTTCAGTTGTGGCTTTTTAATGTGTTGCGACATTTGCGTTTGTGCTGTCGCATTTGTATTTGTTGCGGCGTTTGCGTTTGTTGTGGCCCCTCTCGGCTTCCATACATCCCCGATCAGTAACGCTGTTTTTGTGTTCAGCCGTTCATGTGGATCGTGCCCGGAGTGCTGATGGGAGGAGAGAAGAAGAAGGCGGAGAAGGCCAGGTCTGGACCACATCGTTTCTGTTTTTTGTTTTTATTAAAGAGATGCCTGTTTCAGTCCTGTATTTTTCAGACTATAAGTGTCACTTTTTTTCATGGTTTGTGTGTTTCCTGTGACTTCTATATTAAAATGTTTTTGGTGAAGTGTGGAGAGGTTCTAGTCTTGTGTGTGAGGATCTGCTGCTCCTGTTCCTCCTGCACCACTGTCACTTGGCTCTACTGCACATGTCTCCTGCAGAAAGAGCCTCTGGCCTGTCTGTATTTTTCGTTTTCTTATTTTTGGTTTTATTTTGAAAAACGAATGAACGAATGACGCACGGATTAGTTCAGGCCTGAATAATTCTAACTGGAACTGAGTCTGAGTCTGACGACAGCGACACAGAAGAGTTTGTGTCGCTCTGTTTACCTCTGGAGGTCGAGGCCGAGTTGTTCAGAAGTGACACCGAGGATGAAGAATTGAATGGATTTAGTGATTTGGAGTGAGATGGAGAGTTTGTTAAACTTGTTCTTTTCTGTTGTTTATGTTATAGTTTATCTGAAGAACTGTGAAATATGTGACGATAACAGTCTGTTGTTCTCTCTTCTGTTGTTATTACTACAACTTGACTTTACACAGGAAATGTCTGTTCTTTGTCTCTACATTTCCCCCAAAAAGTGCAAGTTATATATGTTTTTTTCTTCTTCATTACGCATTTTTTGGTTGGTGCGACTTTTACTTCGGAAAATACGGCAAGTCACACTTTTTTGGAGGAAATGTATTTATAAAATCAGAGAGCAGGAAGTGACATTTCCTGTGTAAAGTCAAGTTGTAGTAAAAACAATAGAAGAGAGAACAACAAACTGTTATCGTCACATATTTCACAGTTCTTCAGATAAACTATAACATAAACAACAGAAAAGAACAAGATTACCAAACTCTCCATCTCACTCCAAATCACTAAATCCACTCAGTTCTTCATCCTCGGTGTCACTTCTGAGCAACTCTAGATAAATCGAGCTTTTAGCCCTCCATGAGCTTTTTTTGTTTTCTTTGTTGCAGTTTGAGTTTCCTCCAGTTTTCCCCAGTCCCTCACAAGTTTCTCGCTCACTCTAAACTTTCTTTCTGCTGCTCGATTTAAGTTTTCAGCTGCAGGTTTCACGACTTGCAGTTTGTAATCTGCAGAATCTGATTAACAGTTTATCACCGTGAGATAAAATAAGTTCTGATGCTAAATAAACATTAGTGAGTGGGATTCGTCTTAAATGTGTTAAATCAAATCAGCTTCACTCTCAACATTTTAATATAGAAGTCACACTTGGGTATAACGCTCTGAAGGAGAATGACTTAGCACAGGGAGCAAAGAAATATTAGACTCTTAAACATCTTGATGCTCTGTTTTCTGCAAATTTAACATTTTCACACACACAATTTTAAAAACCAAATTCTCTCATTAAATTACACAATATCTGATCTTGGTCTGTGCACATTTCCAGGCTGCGTAAAGGCGTCAACATTCTGGTCGCGACTCCAGGACGTTTGGTGGATCACATCAAGAACACCCTGAGTCTGGCCTTCAGCGCCCTCTGCTGGCTGGTGCTGGACGAGGCGGACAGGTCAGACGCACACTCACGCACGCACAAACACAAACACACACGTTTGTATGTTGTTTTCACTGGGATTTGGATGTTTCTTATTGATCTGGTGCAGGACGTTGGACCTGGGCTTCGAGAAGGACCTCACAGTGATCCTGAACTCTTTAAACTCGTCTGGATCCAAGCGTCAGAATGTTCTCCTCTCCGCCACCATCTCCCAAGGTGCTTCTGTCCTTCATGTGTGTGCAGCTCATGACTTTAAAGAACAAATATTACGGATCATTTGTTACTGGATTTTAAACATGCTCTTGTGTGCATTTGTTTACTCATGTTTTACAACTTTAAAGTAGTGACTGTTCTCTGAGTATCAATGAAACAATCACTTTATTTATCGTGAGGGGCCGTTTAAGTAGCCAGGCTGGAGCCACCTAGTGCCTCCGCTCAGTTTCATTTCTCTCCAGCGACTAGATCAGAAATCAGAATACACCAGACGATTCACATAAACCCTGGAAGTGCGAGTTCGGGCACCGGCCAATCAGCAAAGACAGACATTCTGTGTTGGCAACGATTCCCGAGATCGAGGATTTAAAACCGAAACAAAGAGGATGTTTGGTGAATTTTATTAAGGGGAATGACAGTATTGCTCTTCTTACGGGATCTGGGAAAAACTTAATATATGAGTTATCCCCGTTACTGGCGCATTACATACGTCATGACCAAATAGCAGCGATTGGTTAAATTAAAAAAGTGCCTGCCTACTGTAATAATGACACAAAAAGTTCATACAGAGGCCTCAGTGCAGCTCAGCAGGCGGAGTCCTCAGATCCAGAGTCAGGGCAGTTTGAGGTGAGTAACAGCTCTCAGGACAAAAGTGTCCCTCCTCTGTCCTGCAGTATCACAGCAGCCAGGAGATCGATTGGTTAAATTAAAAAAAAGTACCTGCCTATCATCAAGAGAACGAATTTTAACGCTGCGAGGTCAGACGGTTTCTACGAAGTGAAACCGTCTAATGAATCAGGTTAATTCTCTACATGGAGACGAGCAGAAACAGACAATTGATGTTGTACACATTTTTTAAATAACGCAAAGTGGTATTTTTAGAGTTTAGGAAAAAAGAGACTAAATTATAGAAGAGTAAACAAAATTTTTACTCAAGTGAGTCCTGAAGTAGAAGTAAAATATGCTGCTAGAAAATAATCTCTTTAAAAAGTTACTCAAGTAAATGTATCTGAGTAAATGTATCTCCCACCTCTGAGTATTATAATTATAATCTTTTGTGTGTCTTTCTCAGGAGTGACGCGATTGGTCGACGTCTGTTTGAACGATCCAGTCACGATCCAGGTGGCTGACTCTGAGCCCGCCCCCTCCGCCGCGCCGCTTCCAATCAGAGAGCTCCTCCGCCGCGCCGGTCCAATCAGAGAGCTCCTCCAGCGCCGCCGTCCAATCGGAGAGCTTCACTGTTCCCGAGGGCCTCAAACAGTTTGTGGTGATTGTGCCCAGCAAAGTCCGTCTGGTCTGCCTCGCTGCGCTCATCCTGGACAAGTGTCAGGTGGGACGCAAACACAGACAAATAAATCTGCGTATAATTACTCCACGTACTCACCTCAGGCAGTACTTGGTGTATATTTGGTGTATATTACTGAAAAATCAAAATAAATAATCTTCTTTGTCTCCAGGTGAATCAGAACAAGATGGTGGTGTTCGTGTCGAGCTGTGAGGTTGTCGAGTTCCTCCATCGCCTCCTGTCCTTCGTCCTGAACAAGCCCTCGGCCAATCAGACGCTGAGTTTTCTGCGTCTCCATGGCAACATGAAGCAGGAGGTACGAACTTTACTTTTACATTCAATATGTCTCTTGAATCGATCACCCCGCTCAGTGCAGTTTTTCTGCGGTACGGTTATTTATGTGTAGAGACACCTGAAAAGTTTGGGAAGAGTTCTGTTCAACGAAGCCGACTGAACCTGGATAAGTTTGTCTAAAGTCCTATTCGCACGGGATCAATTTGACCTGTGGACCTTTAGTGATTTGTAATAATTGTGGAGGAGCCTGAGATCTTAATCCTGTGCGAATGCTCCACGTCTGTAATTTGTAAAGTAAAAATTCCGCCCCAAATTACTGATTTTATTTGGCCAAACACAGACTTCCGGTGATAATACTACTGTAGTCCCGTGCGAATCTGCGTCTCAGTGTTTGTTGTTGTAATTGTGTCTTTTCTATGTCTTTTTCTTTCCGCGTTCACAGCACATTTGCACGGGATTAAAAAAAGTGCAAATGCGTGACGAGTAACACAGAGGCGGGCGGTAATTTGTAAATTACCAGACGTCCTCAGGTTAGGGTTAGGGTTATCCCGCGTGAGTAGGACTTTATGGATAAACAAACTCAGACATGTGCGTCTCTGGATCAGTTGTTCTGTGGAGCTGATTTACAACTCGCTCTGTCAACTCTGGACTTTTCAAATAAAGCCTTAAAGGGACAGTTCAGAATTTAGGACATAGGACCTCATTTCCTCGTGAGTCAGAGTGTTGGAGACGTGTGGAGACACTTTTTGAAATATTCCATCCAGTCCTTGTATTTGCAGAGGTCACTGGTGTTAGACTAGTGCATGTCAATGGTCACAGTTCTCCTGCCATTAAAAACAGTTTTACCCACTCCACAAAACACCCAAAGTAAATCTGTTATTACACCAGACTGTTGATGTGAATGTCTGTGTCGCTAGAATAATTTTAGAAGTAAAACCAACTTTGCATTTGAAGGATTATGACTATGACCATTGACATGCACTAGTCTAACACCAGTGACCTCTGCAAATACAAGGACTGGATGGATATTTCAAAAAGTGTCTCCACACGTCTCCAACACTCTGGCTCACGAGGAAATGAGGCCCTATGTCCAAAATTCTGAACTGTCACTTTAAAAGGTTGTATAGAGGATTTTCCAAGGAAGGAGAAATCCAGCGACTGTTTGTCCTTTTTCAAATGTTGCGCATGCGTGAAACCACCTCCCCTCCCCTACAGCTCCTACGTAGAAACGCCTCCTCCCTCCTCCTCCTTACGCCAGAAAGTCCTCATCGCTGCACATGACTTGTAAACAACTAACTACAGTGTTGGTTAGGCAAGACAGAGAAGTGAGGGGGAGGGGGTGCACGGAGATTTCGTGCGCGGAAAAGAAGTGAGGAGCAGGGAGAAGAACGGAACGGGCAGCGGGGAGAGGAGCAGTAAGAGGTGCAGAGGGGTGCGCGGAGATTCAGTGCGAATGAAGCTCCTACTACAACACACAGCAGCAAGCGGACTCTTTCTTTGCATTGAAAATTACGTTTTCAGGCATAGGATATCACATTCGTGTCCTGAAAAACGTTTGTCTAGCTCTTGGAAATAAAAAAAAAGTACGTTTTCATAATAAGCAGAAGTTTCCTGTCCAGGAGTAATTTGTGGACCAGTGGTTCAGTCTTTAGACTCCTTCGTCTGCTTCAGTCGCGCCATCGCTGGAATGAATCTCCAAGAATCACCTTAGTTTGGCTTCGCTGCTTTTCCCTGTGTTTTCTTCTTTCAGCGACCTCAAAAACTGACTTTCTTTTGCGTCTAACTGCTCCTGGATTCTTGTCGCCATTGCAACAAACTTTGTGCGAACTGCGAGGAAGATATAGGTCAAAAAAGCCGCTAAGAACTGTTGCGTTGGTGGAGTAAACAGCGTCTGTGGACTGTGTGACAGGCGTACATAAACCACGTAACGGCGGCGCGCAGGCAAGTCAGTTACACTAGAAACGTAGGGAGTTTGATTGACAGCCTGTCAGCTCACAGATAACGAGGCAGTGTCGTTATCTATTGGCAAATGTTTATCTGGCCCCACCACGTCCAGAGTTGATGAATTTTTATTCTCTTTTTTTTTGGTCATCATAATTACAAGGCTGCTGCATCTCTATAATCTATCACTGACAATTTGAAACAAAAAAAATCCTCCATACAACCTTTAAGTGTTCACTGAACAGGGGGCAGGGTTTGTAGCAGGCGATCAATCAGAATGATAGAAAACTCTATGAGCTAAGAATTTCACACACAAACTGTCAATCAAAATCATGCAATCTACAAGGAATTAAAATCCTAACCGCGAGCTTAAGTCGTGACACAGACGATGACCTCATCACACGGGACAGCACCGTGGACCGGACGAACGTCGCTTATGCCGGTGTCAAGCAGCACCCGAACACTCACGCCTCAAACAAATGTGTCCGTTATTTTTGAGTTACAGCAGATTTACACCAGACACACTCGAGTGTATTTAGTGTGATACAGTCTGATGTGTTTTTACTCGAGGCATAATCTGCTCAAACTCAAATGTTCTACTGTTCTAATGTTCTACTCCAGTATGTTTCTGTATTCACTCTGGTGTGTGTGTGTGTGTGTGTGTGTGTTGTGCAGGAGCGTGTGGAGGTGTTTGGACAGTTCTCCAAGGCGCGCTCTGGAGTTCTTCTGTGCACGGTGAACACACTCACAGAGTTCACGCACACGTCAGGAAAACTACAAACACCCACCTGGTCCAGTTTAAACCCAACTGTAAAAGTGTGAACCCGGAAACTACAGACGTGTGAATCTGTGACCCCGAGAACACACACACGACATCCACACACGCACACACACACACACACACACACACACACACACACACATCCACACACACACACACACACACACACACACACACACACGCACACACACGCACACACACACACACACACACACACACACACACGCACACACACACACACACACACACACACGCACACACAGAAGACGAGTGCACTAAACAAACTGACTCAAATCACCTTCGTCCAAAACCCGACACACTCGACAATCACTGTTTTATAGCTGCAAATGTTTAATGACAAGTCTAAAGTCCGAGCAGCTCCTGAACGCCTCATCCTCCTCTCCTCTCACCGTTGGTCCGTTTAGTGCCCTCAGATGTTTCTCTCTCTTTTTCTCTCTCTCTCTTCCTCTTCTCTCTCTTCTCTTTCTCTCTCTTTTTCTTTCTCTCTCTCTCAGTTTTATCTTCTCTCTTTTTCTCTCTCTTTCTCTTTACTCCCCTCTTTTCTCTCTCTCTCTCTTTCTTTCTCTCTTTTTTCTGTTTCTCTCTCTTTCTTTCTTTCTCTCTCTCTATTTCTCTCTTTATCTCTCTTTCCTTCTCTTTACCCCCCTCTCTTTCTTTCTTTCTTTCTTTCTCCCTTTTTCTTTTTCTATTTCCTTCTCTATAGTCCTCTTTCCCTTTCTTTCTTCCTTTCTTTCTTTCTTGATTTTATCTTCTCTTTTTTCTCTCTCTCTTTCTCTTTACTCCCCTCTCTCTCTTTCTCTCGCTTTCTTTCTTTCATTCTTTCTTTCTTTCTCTCTTCCTCTCTCTCTGTCTCCTTTTCTTTCTCTCTTTTTCTGTCTCTCTTTCTTTCTCTGTCTGTCTGACTCTTTCTCTCTCTTTCACTCTCTCTCTTTCTCTCTCACTCTTTCTCTGTCTCTCTCCCTTTCTATCTCTTTCTCCTTCTCTTTCTCTCTTTTGCTCTCCCTCTTTCTCCTTCTTTCTCTCTCTCTCTTTTGCTCTTTGTCTCTCTCTCTGTCTCTCTTTTGATCTCTCTCTTTCTCCCCTGTCCCTCTTTCTCCTTCTCTTTCTCTCTCTCTCATTTTCACTCCAGCTTTCGTGTTCTCTCTCTTTCTCTCTTTTTCTCTCTCTTTCGCTCTTTCTCTCTTTTTTCTCTTTCTCCGTCTCTCTTTCTTTCTCTTTCTGCTTCTCTCTCTCTTTCTTTCTTTTCTCTCTCTCTTTCTTTCTCTCTCTCTCTTTCTTTCGCGTTCTCTTTCCCTTTCTCCTGCGTTCGTGTTCTTTCTCTGTCTGTCTGTCACTTTCTCTCTCTTTCACTCCCCTCTTTCTCTCTTTCTCTTTCATTAGCTCTCTCTCTTTCTCTCTCTTTTTCGCTCTCCCTCTTTCTCCTTCTTTCTCTCTCTCTTTGTCCCTCTTGCTTTCTCTCTCTTTCGGTCATCCTCTTTCTGCTGTCTTTCTTTCTCCTTCTCTCTCTCTTTTTCTTTCTCCCTTTCTCTCCCACTTTTGTGTTCTCTCTCTCTCTTTTTCTTTTTCTCTCTCTTTCTTTCTCTCTCTCTCTCTCGCTTTCATCTTCTCTCTCTTTCTCTCTCTTTCTTTTCTTTTTTGTCTCTCTTTCTTTCTCTCTCTTTTGCTCTCCCTCTTCCCCCTTTCTCTGTTTCTCTTTTTTGCTCTCCCTCTTTCTCCGTCTCTGTCCCTCCCTCTTTCTCTTTCTCCTCTCTCTCCCTCTCTTTCTCTCTCAGATGTGTGTACACTGACAGTTTGTTTCTGTTTTCTCTCTTTGTCTCTGTGTGTTTCAGGACGTTGCAGCTCGAGGACTCGACTTGCCTCAGGTCTCGTGGATCGTTCAGGTATTCTCTCTCTCTCTCTCTCTGTCTGTTTATTTTTGTGCCGTCACTCTCTCGTCTCCATGGAGATTTCGTTTTTTTGCCTGGAATTGTTTCGACAGGCTGGCGCCACCTAGTGCCTCCGCTCAGTTTCATTTCTCTCCAGCGACTACGTCAGGAATCAGAAAACACTAGACGGTTTACAAAAACTCCGGAAGTTGTAGACGACGCACCGACCAATCATCTGTGAGCTGTGAAGTCACGACGTCAGACTGAAGCGTCTGTCTGTGTCGCTTTTGTGGAACAGAACAACAGTAAACGAAGCGTCGAGATGGATGTAGATGAAGACAGACATTCTGTGTTGGCGACGATTCCCCAGATCCCCAAGGATTTAAAGCCGGAACAAAGAGAATGTTTGGTGAATTTTATCAAGGGGAAAGACGTTATTGTTCTTCTTCCTACGGGATTTGGTGCATTACATACGTCACGACCAAACAGCAGCGACTGGGTAAATAAAAAAGTACCGAGTGAAAGAATCCTAATACTGCGAGGTCACACAGTTTCCACCAAGTGAAACCGACTGATGAATCAGGTCTAAAGAACTGTTGGGATGGAAACTCAAATTAAACATTCTAAAAATAAATCTCAGCAGCTCTCACACCTTAAAAAAAAAGTAAAACTATCACATGAAAAAATCTACTTAAGTAAAAGTACCTTTTTAAAAATGTACTTTAAGAGTAAAAAGTAAAAGTATTTTGCAGACATTTTTAGAATAATTAAAGGAGGAAATGTATATATAGTGATTTTGAAAAAGCATTTAGGAGACTTCAGGTGATTTAAAAAAAAAATTACTTTTCAAGCCACTTTTGGGGACAGAAACTCCAATAAAATATGCTAAAAAGTCTACTGAAAAACTACTCAAGTACCTGTTTAAAAATGTACTTTAAGAGTGAAAAGTAAAATTACAACAATTAAAGAAATGTATAGTGATATATATATATATATATATATATATATATATATATATATATATATATATATATATATATATTT